CCACCCTCACAGCACAGACTTTCTTCCCCATATCTAATCTAAACCTGGTCTCTGCCAGTGTGAAGCCATTTCCCTTTTCCTGCCATTCCAAGGCCCTCTCCAGCTCTCTTGTAGCTCGTAGGCACTGGAAGGGGCTCTAAGGTCTCCCTGGAGGCTTCTCTTCTCCAGGCTGGACACCCCCAGCTCTCCCAGCCTGTCTCCAGAGCAGAGGTGCTCCAACCCTCTGAGTCTCTCTGTGGCCTCCTCTGGACTTGCTCCAGCAGCTCCACATCCTTCTGATGCTGGGGGTCCCAGAGCTGGACATGGTACTTCAGGTAGGGTCTCACCAGAGCAGAGGGGGCGAATCATCTCCCTCAACTTCCCGGCCATGCTGTGGGGATGCAGCCCAGGATACAGTTGGCTTTCTGGGATGCCATTTCACGTTCTTCGAGGAACAAACTTAAAGGCAGTTGCACAGCAGATACTACAGAAAAAGGATGTGCTCCTTTTAAGTATTAACCTCACAGTCTCTGCTGACCAGGGTGTTATAAGTAGAATGGTGATGATCTCATATGAAAAAATCTCCAGTGAGAAGCAAACACCTAGTAGAAGAGGTGAGAATAGGGGAATAGAGTTCTCCTTCTAGTTCAAAATATCACAGATATTTTTAGTGAAAACCTCACTTTATCAGAGGACTGATGCTGCATAAAGCAAATTGCTGCTCCACTATTTTCTCTGCCCTGATCTTTCCAGTGTAAGCAATGAGATTCACAAAACAACTTCTTACATCACAGCAGGAGTGGGAAAAAGCTTGCTTTAAAATACAGCGTGTTATTTCATCTCTGTGTGAGTCAAAATACTAGGAAACTTACTTTCCTGCAGAATATTTACCTGCCTTGGACAGAGTTGCAGGTTTTAAGTAAGTTTTGGAGAAAATAATCTGCAGTCTGACATCTCCCACAGTGAAGTGCTCTAAGAGCATATTGTGAAGCATTTTGAAGGGGAACAGAGTAAAATGTGTCATCATTTAAAAAAAAAAGTTGCTGGGAAAACTCAGTAGGAAAATGTAGAATCTATTTTGGGTGGAATGGAAAAAAAAATACAGGAAATATGAGCAACCAGGTTTAGTGGAAGGTATCCTTACCCATGACAGGGGGTTTGGAACTAGATGATCTTTTGAGGTCCTTCCAACCCAAAACATCCTACAGTTTTATGATTCTATGACTCTCTGACACAGTTGCCTACACTGTTATGGGAGGTTTGATGTCCCCACGATTCTATGATTCCATGATACCGTTTCTAGTTAATCCCTAGGGTACAGAAGGACTAACTCTGCTCACTGATCTCTGTTCCTCTGGTGGTTGGATCCCACAGAAATTTTAGTCTAAGATACAGCTGGGGACATCTGAATTGAGGCAATATGTCAGCTGCCAAGGTGCTACATTAAAACCCACTGGGGACCCATGTAGAGGTGCTGAACATTTGATTACTGGGGAGATTTAAGCTTGTTGGGAGGTAAATGGACTCACTAGTTAGGACAGGGCTAAAATCAAGAATATAGGTTGAAGCCTTCATCTGTGGATGAAATTAAGCAGAAAAATGCTGCCATTAACCTTGCAAAAAGTTGCTTAGGTGTCTGGACCAAAAAGAACCAGTGCAGTCAAGAAGCACACCAAACAAAAGAGTGAGTGCCAGCATGTTCAGAGACTGTTGTGAAAGTCAGGTGGCCAGAAAGACTGTACAGCAATCTCAGATATGACGAATGAGAGATGTTTCACTCTACCTGTCCATTTTTCTATCTCTGAGAGTGGTGTTTTGCAAAACATCTACCAGCACGAAGAGCGGTGTCTGTTCTCCTGTCCCCTCCACACTTCTGCTGCTTCCCTTGTACTGTACCTCCAGACACAGGAGCTTACAGAGAGACGATGTGACCTGAGTACAGTTTGGGATTGTACAACTGAAAGGTCCTCTGCAGATACAAAAGCTTTGTGAGTAGAATAAGAATAGAAAGAACAGTTTTGCTATGCCTTGTGTGCTGTGAGTAGGAATGCACAGGAGATGAAAGCTCCCTCTGCTCTCTCCAGGCTGTGTGTGAATCCAGTGCTGCAACTGGGTGGGAACAATGTGCACAGTGGAACAGTGGGTGCAGAGGAGAATGTGTGTGCCTTATACGTGTTTGGAGAGGTTATACTTGCACCTAGCTCTGCTCTAATATTGGTTTGCCCAGATTAGGCTCTAAACAAATCATCACAAGTGATCAAGTTTACTCTTCTCAGATGAACAGTGGCAGCAATATTGTGGGTATGCTCTTCCATTGCAAATGTAAAGTAAAATCTGTGTGTGCCTTGTCTGTGGACTTCTAAAAACATATGACAACAGATGTGGAAAAACAATGAAAGTGGTCCACCAGGAAACCTCAAGATCTCAATCCCGCAGTTGCTGAGCTTGAAAAAAATCTGGTAAATGATGACGTTACATAATGCAAAAATGTAGCTGTTTTAGTTATTATTATCTATAGTAATACAACAATATAAATGTATAAAGATATTATTTAATATATATAAGGAAAAAAAAGAGAAAGAAAGAATAAAAGTAGGTAGTGGAGAGGAAAGTTATCACCACCCATGGATCCAGCAAGGAGACTTGTCGTAATTTAGGTGTCCAGTGGTGGAAGTGATGGTCTCGGTCTTGATCCATTAGGGGTGGAAAAATGTCATGGAACACAGAGTTCAGTGGGTTGATAAATGTTCTGGTTTATGTGGGAACACCCAGGTACCTCCCCTGGAGGGAGTTTTACACTGTGGGTGGCAACACTGTGGATCACACACAGTCCTCTGGTTGTGGGCCCACACCCCCTCTGCACCTGGGCTGGTTCCTTGCAAACCTGCCCTCGGTAAAGCGCCCGCTGCTTTTGCGATTGGCCGATTGATTGAGTCATTAACCACTGACATTTCAGTCTCTCACAACTATTTACAAGAGCATGCAGCGTCAGGACAAAGGGGAATAGGTTCAAATTGATAGAGAGTAGATTTAGAGTAGACATCAGGAAAAAATTCTTTACTGTGTGAGTGATGAGGCACCGGAACAGGCTGCCCAGAGAAGCTGTGGCTGCCCCAACCCTGGAAGTCTTCAAGGCCAGGTTGGATGGGGCTCTGAGGAACCTGGTCTTGTGGAAGGTGTCCCTACCACAGCAGCAGGGTTGGAACTAGATGATCTCCAAGAGCCCTTTCCAACCCAAATCATTCTATGGTCCTATGATTCTGTTGAGGAATACATATAGTCCTGGTGGATGAGTGTGCAGCTGCAGTGAGAGCTGCAACCTGAGCTCTGGGGGGCTGAAGACCCAGGCAAGAGACCTTGAACTGCTGAGCCTTTGCATAACAAAGGGCACGGGACCTGTGGCTCCATCGAGCTGAGGGACACTGAGAGACATGTCAGGAGTCCAGGACCCCAGACTTTCCCACATTTGGACTGCTAGAGTATAAACCCCCAGGGGTTCCTTTGTTCAGAGTCCCTCCTTCGAGTCACCCAGTTTGAGATGTTATTCTGTCATTGCACCAAGATTAAAGTATTTGAAGATCTTCTCTTCTGTGACTCTGCTGTGGGAAACCTGGTGTTGAGCTGTTAAGGAAACCTGATCTGACTGTGTGAGTGTGGTGTGTGCAGGGAGCCAAGTGGGGCACCTGTGGGGTCACTGGGGCTGCTGCTGCAAAGGGACCTCGGTCCTAGTGCAGGTGCTGTGGGTGTGACTCCTGGGGTGACTCTTAGATGGTCCCACAGGGAAGTTTCCTTAACAACTCCATGATTCCCCTTTTCAGTTAATTTTTCAGAATTGCACTTGAGGAAGTAGCTTAATCCCACTGTTCTTCATGCATAGAATTAACCTAGGGGGTTGGCAACCCTGCAAACACCTGTCAGACCTCAATGGAAAAAGGAGCCAAGGAGATGTCAATTTTTATTACAAACTTTATTTTCACATGCCATTCACGTTGCTAATGTTTTGTTTTTAACAAAAAAACAGTGTCTCTCTCTTCTTAAAAGCAATGGCTGCTTCTTAAAGCAATACGATTTTTCTTAATAAAGACTCAGCACATAATCTTGAAAGCCTAAGGGCGAAGTTTAACCACTTGGAAAAATGACCTTTTGTACTATTAGGAGAACTAGACAGCAGGCTTTGGTGCTCAAATTTTGTTCCTCCTCTATCACAGAAAACAATTCAAAAGCTGTTGCTCAATGTGTTGGTTTGGGCTGGGGGAGAGTTAATTTTGAAACTGGGACAGAGCATATATAGGACAGCTGATCCAAACGAGCCAAAAGGATATTCCACATCATAGAAAGTCATGCCCAGTATACAAACTGGGAGAGTTACCTAGAAGGGGACTGATCTGGGTTTGCAAAGGGGGATCTTGCATGGGTCAGCTGTTGGTGAGCAATTGTACTGTGCATCACTTGCTTGGCTTTTTTTCTTTCCATTTTTATTATCTTTAATATTTACCATTACTACTATATTTTACTTTGTTTTAAATTATTAAATTTATCTAAATTGTCAAATTATTAATTATTTAACTTATCCAAATCTGCAAGTTTTACTTTTGATTCTCATTCCCATTCCACCAGGGTGGGGGGAAGAGAAGAGGGTTGATTTAGTGGCTTTGTGAACCTTAATTTCCACCTTGGGCTTAAACCACAACAGGGTATGTGAGGGAGTTGGGAGTAGACACAGACAGGAATGCTGACCGCAAGCGACCAAAGGGGCATTCCTTACCATATGTCCTCATGCTCAGTGTATAAAGAAGGGGACAGAAGGAAGGAGGAGGGACCTGCTGGACATCTGCTGGAAACTCAACTCAATGGAGAGTAGCCAGGCTAGGAGGTTCTTGGGGTTTGTGGAAGAGAACTTCCTAGAGCAGCTGTGCCTCTTCTGCCAGGTAACCAGTGACAGGACGAGAGGACTTAGTCTTAAGCTGCACCAGGGTAGGTTGGACATTAGGAGGAACTTTTTCACAGAAAGGCTGATTAGACATTGGAATGGACTGCCCAGGGAAGTGGTGGAGTCACCATCCCCAGAGGTGTTAAGGAAAGACTGGACGTGGCACTTGATTGTGTGACATCCAGGAATGTTGTTCAGTCATAGGATGGACTTGATGGCCTCAGAGGTATTTTCCAACCTATTTCATTCTGTGATTCTGTGGGGACATTAGGAGTTGCAACATTTGTCTTCCCATGGGCAGGCAGGTGTTCACCCATTTCCAGGGAGACTGGGCTCCGTCACCAGTAATGGTGACTTGGAAGACAAATGCTGTGACTGCAAACCTATCCCCTTCCTCTTCCTTCTCCCCTTCTCTTTCATATACTGAGCATAATGGTCTGTTGTGCTGTCCCAGCTGTGTGTGCTCCCAACTCCCTGTGCAGCCCCAGCCCAAACCAGTGCCTGGGAAAGCTGCCACTGCCTACTGGAGGACCAGGAAGGTGCCTGGGCTGCCCTGCTGCACTGCAAACATCAACACAACACAGAGCTGCGCCTCAGAGGGTCCAGTCAGCAGGAGCCTGCAGGAGTGGGAGGAGGGTAGCACCCGGAGCTCCCAGTCGTGCCACTGAGGCAAACTCTCCCAGGCTGATCCCACCAAATTTTGCATCCAGCAGGCAATTTCCTCCACATCTAAGTAGGAGCCTGTGCAGAGGGTGGATAGGAGGGGAGAGCTCTGGTTGTTGTCAGAGGGGTGGAGAAAACAAAACATATCCCCTGTCCCTGAGCACGTGCACTCCAGCACCACACGGATGTTGCAGCATCTCTCTGGCAGGTGCATCCCACCATACAGCTCCAACCTGAAAGAGTATCCAGGGGGTGGCTGCAGGAACACAACCAGCAGGTACATGATTCGGTCCTCAAAGACATTCCAGGATTCATGGATGCCATCCTTCCCGGTGGCTGGGTACATCTCTGGCATGGAAGTCTTCTTGCAAATCACTCGGCAGATACGGAGAAGGTCACGCACCAACTTCTGCACATCCCTGCACATCTCAGACAGTTCCTGCGTTGGCAATACATTGTACACAGAAAACATCCGAACACTGGGGTGCTGTCCCTTGAGGTCCTTTTCCTTCTCACTGTCATCCTCCTCCTCCTCGCTGCTGGAGCTATCCTGCCCAGTGCAGCTGCGAGAGGCAAGATGCATTTGCCAGGCCACCCAGCAAATCTCAGCGAGCATGGCTGCTGCAGCGGTGCAAAAGGGCCAGCTTTGCAATTTTGGAAGGAGTGAGGCTTTTTCCATGGGGCTGGTCAGCTTAACGTCCTGCCAAAGCCATGTCATCACCGGATGCAGAAAAACCTCATGCAGCTTCATCCACTGGGCTGTGACCACACTGACTATAAGATCGTGCATCTTTCCAAGCAGGATGGCCACCACAGCCAGGAGGAGTGTGATTACCACTGCCATTTGTGAAGGACTGAAAAAAATCATGAACATTATTACTGGTTAGAAACAACTCTGTCTGTGTGGGAGGGGACAGATGGGATTCTGCCCAGGTGGAGTGGTGCACTGCCCCCCACCCCCATAATCCATCCTTCTTGAGAGTTTCTTGTGCAGCAGTCAGCCATTGGCACACCAAGAGCACTACCCCACACCACACCCCCTGGAACCCCTAACCCAGCCCCAGAATGGTTGGCACACTGAAAGCCCCACCAGAGCAAATAAAACCAAGACCACGTGGCCTTCACGTTGGCATGACCCTACTGTTCTTGGACTTCTGATAGCTGATTCTATGATGAATCTAAAGTGGTGGCTATAATTCTCTCTCTCTCTCTTTCTTTACTTCTTCCACTTCTCTTAATTTCCTTTTCTTGATACTTGAGTAACTTAAACCTGGATGGGTTGGAATTTGCTAAGTCAGTGCTTTGTGAAATGCTTTAGGTTGACTGAATGTTTGTTTTAAATTTTTGCCACGTTCCCCTACTTGGCAAATTTTGCCAATAAAAGTGTGCTATTTTGACTGCTTGAAAAGAGTCGTAGTGTTTTTTCTGTGTGTGGCCTCAAGGTATAAAAGAGCTGAAGGCCACTTTAATAAATCCGTCCAGTGGGTTTTGGGGCTTTGTATCTTTTTGACACAAAATCCCTTCGAGGAGCTCATAAGAGCCTGGGGTCTTACACCATGGCCTGGAGGACATAAGAGAAAAGTTTGCTCAGCAGCTCAGGGTGGGAGGGAGCATGGGGATTGAGGCTTGAAGGGAAGGCAGTACCTGGCTGCAGGCAACACAGGGCCCATCCTGCCCTTGCCTGGAGCCTCCTTGTCAGCCCCTGGCTGGGCTGTACCCCGGCAAAAGGCAGGAGACACCCGAGCAGAGCCTCCCGAGACCCCATCCCTGCCACACCACGGCATCCCATGGAGCCAGGGGCAGCCGGCCCATCCCCAAAGCCTCTGTGGCATCCCTGGAAGCCCCTGAGGCCTTCTGCCCCCAGGCCTGAGAGTGGTACTGTGCCCTGCCCTGAGGTGTTCAGCCCTCACTCAGTGTTAGAAACCCCCCTGGGCATCATCCCCACCCCCCACCCATCCCAACCTTCCTCCTGCATCTGCACTCACTAATCACAAAAGTCCAACTACCCTGGGGCTGCCCGCTGTTGTCCTTAGGGACAGCTCCCATTGTGACCTGTCCTCTGTGATGTCACAGCCACAAGAGACACATCAGCTGGCCGACAAGCCCCAGCCTTCATCCCCACCCCCCTGCTCAGTCAGTTCTGGGCATTACCACCACAAGTACAAAGCCAGCAGCAGGAGCAAGCTCCCATGGGCTCTCCTGACAAAGTGTCCAGCCCAAGCCACACTGATGTCCATCTACTGCCTTGTCTGTGCCCTGTGAAAGGGCAGGAGTCACCTGAGCAGAGTCTCCTAAGGCCCCATCCCGGCACTGCCAAGGCCACCACTAAACCATGTCCCTTAGTGGCACATCTACACAGCTTTTAAATGCCCTCAGGGATGGTGACTCCACCACTGCCCTGGGCTGCCTATTCCAATGTTTGACCTGCCTTTCAGTGAAGAGTTTTCCTTATAGCCAACCTAAAACTCACCTTTTGCAACTTGAGGCTGTTTTCTTTTGTCCTGTTTTGTGAGCAGTACCACTTCTCTCAAATAGTCCATCTCCCCAGCCTTAAGGTGTGCACAGCAGCATGACAAGAAAGAATCATTTTACTACACCTCTGCAGCTCAGATTTCTGGACAAGTGGAGTGACAGCAGCAATGAGGCTTAAACACTGGTGCTAAGATAGGCCTTAGATGTCATTTCCTTGCTCTGGTTTTGCTCACATATAATTCTTGAAAGATTTGTTTCCAAAACATTAAGGGAAGTCCAACCTTCTTTTCCATGGGGAAAAACTTTCAAAGTACCATGAAAAGACAGGCCTAGAAATGTCTAGATATGGTCAGTTTGAATGTGGGTAGCTGATTTTGGATTTAGTTTGCCCACTCTTTAAATAAACACCATAATATAGGTTGATAGTGAAGTTAGCAGGGATGGGGAAAGAATAAAAGATCCAATTTCAGTGAATATGGAATCTGTCTTGGAATAAGTGTCCCATAATATTTCACAAATTGAAGGTCTGAGTAGTCATTGCAGCACTGGGAGCTCTGTAGTTTAGCTAGTCCCAATAATGTCTGGGGCTCTAAGTGTGTGCAAACAGAATACTCGAGCATTTGGACCACAGACACAAATCTTTTTTACGAAGTGTCCCATTCATTCTTCTACCTGAGAATCCTTACTAGGAACTTCAAAGGTCTTTTCGGAAAAGAGCTCCATAAAACTTTTTGATTTTCTTAAGGAAGGTAAAGAAATGTATTGGGCATTGCACACCACATAATTCAAGGTTGTCAACTGGACAGTTCAGTCAACCAAATCTTCACTGCCTTTAGAGTCTGAAAGAAGAAATTTTGGGAAAAAGAAAATGAAAATTCATGAGCGTCTGTTTTCTTCTGGTGGGCATTTTCTTTCAGTTATCTAATTTCAGTTATCTTTATAAAAGCATCTCCTGCATCTTTAATGATTTTTTCCCAAATCAGATTAACCTAGCACAGTGTTTAATAATGAATTCCACTCAGCATACCAGTAGAACAGAAAAGTTCTTTTGTCTGATCTTAGACAAGTTCTCTAATAGGTAAAAATGAGATCCACAGGGCAGAATATGCTAATACACTATGAAAAGAGTTTGTTAGAATTTCTGAAAGGTATTTGACTTATAGCACATTTAATACAGTTTCATGATTATCAACCCTTTTCAGCTTATTGCATTAGAAATGCATGAGGGGCAGAGGAAAACATTTGCAAAACATTTTTGCATCTTAACAGACTGTTCCCATTAAACTCTTACTGTACTTTAGCTTTGTACTTTGCTATTCAACTTTACTAGAACTGCAAAATATTTAGGTACAAGCCCTAAACCCTGTATTAAACTCTTTTAGTTGTGTGAGGAAGCTCAGCTTGCTGGGTTACATCAGTCTTTCATTTCATTCATTCATTCATGGCCAGGCTTCGCAAACGAAAATTTGGGAAAGGTCTCTACCCACGTTTGTTACAAGCACGCTGGTGGCTAAAAAGGCCAATACTAGACAAGCATGTCCGGTTGCAAAAAGCGCAGCAGAAAGACTCCTTAGGTGATAAATTCTGCAGGGCACATTTCTTTCTGCATGGTCTTTTCTCCTCAAGAGTGATCCTGCGTGTGTTCTCGAAGGAGACAGCTGCGTTATAGATGGTGTGTCTCCAGACCTCCTGTTTGGAGGCCAGAGTAGACCAGCTATGGTGATCAATATGGCCAAGGCTGAGATGTTGTTTCAGGGAGTCCTTGTATCTTCTCTTCAGGGCTCCTCTCTTGTGGCAGCTGGTGGCAAGTTCACCATAGAGCAGGATCTTAGGGAGGCGGTGGTCCTTCATCCTTGAGACATCAATCTTTATAGCAGTCTGAAACACACCCCTGAAACTTCTGGATTTTAATTCACTCCTGTCCTGTTCAGTGACTTTTTTTGCCTGTTTGATTGGAAGAATACATATGATATGAGTCCCCTGAGAACTTTATCCTGTGAGTAATAAATGAATCTGTGGCATCTGCTTTGTTGATGTGAGGGATAAATACCCAGCCTTATGACTGACGCTTATGTAAATCACAGCAAACATCAGAAGGTATATGACTAAGAGTGAGGTTGACGTCACCTAAAATTAGACATGTAGTTATTTGTTATGATTGCTTTATGTCTCACTTTGTTACCTTTCTCTAAAATGCAAATTCTAAACAGGAATGGAAGAGATCTAAACTTAGGCACAGTTTTAATATAGTAGATTGCAAATACTGAGAACATTTGGATGAACTTTTAGCTGTGAACATTTCAAAACAAAGGGGGTCTTGAGCTTTGTAGTTGTGCTACTCTGGGTTGTTGTTTAAGGCTCCTTGGGAATTCACAGAATCATAGAATCAGCTGGGTTGGAAGGGACCTCAGAGGTCATCAAGTCCAACCCTTGATCCACTACTGCTGTGGTTACTAGACCATGGCACTAAGCGCCACATCCAGTCTCTTTTTAAAAATCTCCAGGGATGGAGAATCCACTACTTCCCTGGGCAGCCCATTCCAATGTCTGACCACCCTCCCTGTAAAGAAATTCTTTCTAATATCTAACGTAAACCTCCCCTGGCACAACCTGAGACCATACCCTCTTCTCTTGCTGATAGTTGCCTGGGAAAGACAAAGATATTTCTCAGTATAGGACAGTTGAGCCCCTGATGAGCCCCTGATGAGCCCTGATGAGCTAGCTTTCTGCAGTGCTTGGATAAACATGAATTTAGATGCCATATGACTGTCAAATGTGTTTATCAATACATATTGATGTAGAGATATGTAAACGTATGTCTGTATTTGTTCAGAGGCCTGAATAAATAGAGGAATAAATTTAATTAGGCATTGTGATGTCTCTCTTACATTGTTAGTGATAAAAGTTCTGGAGTTTCCTCTTGTAATCTATATAACTGCAGGATCAGGAACAGCAAAAAGCGTTCAGCTGCTGCCTTTTGCACTGACAGCCATTCTCTGCCTCTCCTGGTGCCCTGCAGAAAAACTGAGTTGTATGAAGTCCTCGAGAAAACAGATCCAGTCTGAGGAAATCATGCTGAATAAAGCAAGATTCAAAAGTTTACGTGGTCCTGCAGATGTGCAAAAAGCCTATCAGAATAATAACGTATTGGCCTCATTAGAGACAAAGATGGACTAAGAACTGCATTTCTGAGGGTGTTTAATAATTAGAGGAGGACTTTAAGTCATACTGAATGGGAGGAATTATCCAGCTAGACTAGATATCATTACATAAAAGTTCATGCAATTAAACAGCATGAACTGAGATTTCTTGAGACCAGCATAACCTCAAGTGGTGACTTCTCCCTTCTGATATTTGTGGATTAAAGACACATACCTTCTCCAGTGTTTTTCCACTCTAGTAACTAACTTCAGACATATATATAAGCCATCATATTTGTCTGAATTTATTTTTTCATGTGCTGCAAATCTTTTCGTAAAGAAAACACTCATCTTGATAAAAAGCCACATAGATCCTGGAATAACATAGTTTTTCTTACACAGTCCCAAATGGGCAGAAGTTCTTGCCAAAGCAGAGCTCTGAAAGACTTGTTCACATCTGTGTCCAGATTAAATTCAAATGGCAAAGCCATTGGGGACCAATTCATAGCAGATGACAGAGAGGAAAGAAACGGGGAAAATAAATTTAGAACTGACATTTTCCTTAATGACTGTTTCTTTGAACTTCTTTTAGAAACAGCTCATTCTACTGCCAGGGGCTGCTCTTTTCCAGGGTCTCTTGTAAAAGTCAGCTGAATTTTGCAGCTGTTTTCAAGCACTAAAACCACGGGGCCTAAATATATAGACATACATTGATGTACCTCCTCATAAATTATAATGATGAACAAATAATTCTAATGACTCTACTTGTCTTTTCCCAGTAGGTATTTGGGTTCACTTTGAAGATAACACATGTTCTTATTTTTTATTTATTTTTGCTACCCTGGAGTATTTTTTCCTAATAATTTTTGCTGCAGAATCACCTATTCCTACATAGTAGCTACAGGAAGTTTCTGTAAAAACTTTTCTGTATCCAGTGACATCTGGCCATCTCAGTCAGCTCTT